ATATTCTGTTCAACACGAGAAACATGGGAGGGATCCTATAGGGTGGGAAATATTCGCTTCCTGTCATTACTAAAATTAAGATTATTAGTACACTAAAGCTAATATAATCTTCAATTTTACCACATGACAGGAGGCTTCATATTTGCATTTTTAAAGCTTTGAATTGACCAATGTGAAGGAAGCATGAGATGTTTGCCAAAAATAGAACGTTCTAAACGTACTCTCTCGCGCTCAGTCCGCGCAGCGTATAATGTCGGCTAGGGAAGCGTCGGCCGAAAAGGTTTGTGAGGTCGCTGCTCCCCTGACCGAGTGGGCTCCGAAACAAGGTTCGACGCTAAAGACAAAAAACCAGCGGACCCATCTGGCCAGTGTTGCGGTAGACACCGGTCCATGAGGGTTCACGTAAGAAGTCAGAAGGTGATCCGTCGAATGAGTTCGAAGGGGGTAGAGATATTGGTGTACCCCATTAGCGTTCTGACCACGCATAGTGTGGCGTCTGACACAAAGCATGGGTATGACACTGAAGACGAATCAGACTTAGTTTGTCTCGACATGGTAAAGGTAACCCCATCTGGTGTGAGAGAGAAACAATCCATATCGCAAGCCCTAACATCCGCCACCATCTAAATGAGGCGAGGCATAATAAGAGGGCTAGTTTGGCTGACAGCTGCTTCAGTGACAAACAAGGATTGTCCGGCCATTCCCTAAGGAATCTCAGCACCACATCCACCTGCCAGAGGCGTGAATATTTGGGTGCAGGGATCTCGACAATTCGACACCCCGCAGTAGTCGACAAACCAGTGTATCTTGACCTACTGGTCTGCCCTGTACCGGAACGTGCGCCGCCGATATGGCGGATCTGATCACGTTGAGGGATCGATATGACCGACCCAACGAGACCAGGTGTGACAGATAGTTGAGGATCAGTGGGACAGGTGCAGTAAAGGGATCGGAATCCCTTTCCACACACCAATCACTCCAGGCCGACCAGGCAGAAATATAGCCTTTCCTGGTGCCGGGAGCCTATGAGTCCCATAGGAGGTCTTAGTTGATGCAATAAGTCGTGAACTGACCAGGAGCCCCTGAAGCCGTCCAGGCAACTAGTGCCAGTTGTCCTTCCATGACAAGGGAGTGGGCTTCCCCTCGAGGTCCCTTCAGAAGTAGAGGGAAGGTAGGGAGTAGTAGAGGGTCTTCGCGAGACATCTCCAGGCGATCCGGGAAATCACGGTTGGCCCTGCCCGAGGGGTGTCATGAGCAGGAGCGATATCTTGTGGGTGTGTGTATCGAAGCACCCTTGCTATTGTGGAGAACGGCTGGGTCGCGTTTGCAGGGGTTCATCCATTGCCCCGTATCCGAAGGAAGAGTCAAAGATCGTTTTGCCAATCCAAGATTGTATGTGAAGTAATCACCATCGAAATTCCATCCTCACTTCCGCTGACAGTGGGATCCAGTGGTCGTATGAGTGACCGGTGCGTACGTATCTCACCATCAGTCGTAGTGGGCCAGGGAATAACGCTTGTATGGAGGAGGAGAGGAGGAGAGGAATCCCACAATCCGACAGCTATCCTTATAGAGGCGCTCTTTGCCGTAGACGGACGCGGAACGTAGTTCTCCAAGCCGATGTCGAAACCGAGGAACTGGCCCGATTCAGAGGGAGAAGCGATCTTTGTCTGTGTACAACAAAAAACCCATGGAGTCCCGAAAGTGAACGACAAATTTGTCTGCAAACGTAGCCTGGATTCGTAAAGAATCAGCAAGTCTTCCAGGTATACGAGGCATCGCACGCCCAAATTTACGGATGTGTGCCCTCACTGGTTACAGTAGGTTCGCGAGCACCACGGAGTCGTAAACTGCCGTGTTTGTCCTCACCATTGGAATCGGAGGAAAACTTCGGCAGTCCAGGGCAACGGGTACTGAAAGGCGTGCGTCCTTGAGGTCCAGATGTGTAAACCAGTCGTTATCGCCTAGGAGGTCTTGTAGAAGATGAATTTCCTCCATCTTGCAGCATTTGTATACCATGTAGGAGTTCCATTGATGTAGTCTCCTGGCTTCTTCTTGACCAGGAAAAATTTGCTGGGGAAGCCTTCCCCTCCGGTGCATGTTGAATTGCGCCCCTCCTGAAGAGGGTGCAGATTTTCTTGTCCACGAGGCGTTCCTGTTCCGCCAGCGTGCGTAATGGAGGTGAAGGGGCGACCTGCACGGCTGTGATAAAACTCTATGACATAGCCTTGTACTGTCTGGAGAACCCAGGTGACTTTGGTAGTCGTCTCCCAATTCTGTAAAACAGAGACAGGTTGCCGGTCATAATATTGGAAACAGTTAGTTATGTAGGTTGACACACTAGTAGATGAAGCGGATGGGTTCCTTTGTGTAGTAGATGGGAGAAATATGAGGACTGTGTATACGATCTGGAACCTGTCGCCCAGAAGCGGCTGGTGGCTCGGTTCAGCTACGACCAGTCCTCCCAGAAACACCTTTCCCCGTAGGGTTGTGGAAGACTTGTTTTAGCGAGGTCTGGGTTTAATTTAGTGTGGTGAATAAATTCACGTGTTTCTTGAGTACTGCAATGAACACTACGTCGAATAGTAGGCCTTGTGCTTTTGGGCCGAATTCTTGTCGTTCCTAAGTCCAATAGTGTGTTGTCGATGCGGCCCAGTACAGATTTGCGTCTGTCGGCGCATAGTGCGTCATTTACGTTGCCCAGGAGGCATATCGAGCATTAAGACCATTCTTTGGAGGTGGTAGGGTTGAGTTGTGTACCCTGGGGTAACTCGGTCTTGAGGCGTGCGCATCCTTCCATCCCCCGAGGGTTGCGCAGCCAATAGTGTTCGTCCAGGAACGTTCCGTCTTCGGCTACTCTGGTTTAGTGCCGCTACAGTTATCTCTGCCTCAGCCGCCGTCACAGAGTAAGGTTTCCCTAACGTACTTCGAGGAAGTGTGGGGAAGGTCTTGCCGTTCCATTTCCTCAGACGGTGAGCTGTCTTCGTGTCGCTCATCTACCATGTCCAAAGTACGTGGTGGGTAATAGTCTTCTTTGTCGGAAGATTGTGGCGGACAGGGTTTGGATTCCCGGTGCTCCGCCTATTTGGTCTGTTCGATGGGCATCTTGCCCTTGACCTTAGTGGCAGGGGGGCTGGAGCCCTTCCCTTGCCGTTTTGACTTGA